GGTACCTTTCAATTTGAAGTTGCCTAGGGATCGGATTCTTCCGTCACTACAAGGTTGACTACTCGGCATTTTTCTGGTCATTGAATTTCAATCACGAAACATTGCTCCAATGATACTAGATAAATTAGTAGATAAAAAAATATTATATAATTTAAATTTTAAATTGTACAATTTAATGGGTTAAATTCAAAGATAAACTCATTAATTTTGAATAAGAAATCTTCACAATTTAAACAATAAAATACTAATCTCACATGATTTTAGAATTAAATTACATTTTATTTGTCAACGATTTAAATAATTCAATAATTATATTTTTTCGTTGAAAATAAAAAATTTTAAATTTAAATTACATAATATAATTTTTTTTTTGAACATTTTGACACGGGACGGGTTCGAAGCCCGCCCAGGGGAGAGGGGAATGCACCTAGCAAGCTGGCTAATATCAGTAGGTCTCTAGGTCCAGGTGCAAATTATATAATATAATGAGACATAATAAAAAATGAAAAATGATTATTTGTGCAACTAAAAAAAAATCCATCTTATTTAAACTTCAGTTCTAAAAAAAATTCCTTTCTTGTTAAAAAAAATTGATAAATAAGAGGGAAAGAGACGACAAGGGACAGTCTCAGTGGCGTATAATTCCATCAAAAGCCTTTACATTACACCATGAATCTAACCAGCCGAAAGAAGGGAAAAAAATAATAAGACGATTCTCCACCTTTGGCTCTGGCTCTTGATCTTTCTTTTCATCATCTTCATCATTGGCATTGCCCTCCCCCCCCCCCCCCCTCTTCATCATTGGCATTGCCCTCCCCCCTCCGCCCCCACCCTCCCTCCACCTCCCTATTGTTTAGGTTTACCTACTCCCTATGGTGCAAAAATATATACATGGATAAATATAAATAACATGTACGGCATTTTTTAAAGGGGAAAAGGGGAACAGCTAATCATGTGGAAGAGTGCGGGGAAGCACAAAACAAATGAAAGAGAGACGAATCATGGTGGAAAGATTTGGATGGAGAGAATGAGGCGACCTCTTTTTTTTTTTTTTTTTTTTTCTTTTGTCCTTTCCACTCTGGGAGGCAGCTGAAATTGCGGGTTCTTGCTTTTGAGATTCCGCTTTGCCCTATCATAATTGAACAAAAGACGACGGGATCACTAACATTATTGAACATTAAATATGAAAGTCTTTGCATTTTCAACATGCGTAGGGAGAGGGGTGAGGTCTCTCAGCACATGGGTTAGGTTCATGTGAGGTTTCAAGTTGAACCCAGACGGCAGGAAAAGGAATCGTTCAGTCCCCAATTCATAATCCACATGTTCTGACTTTTGAGAGTTTCATACGGTGAAATCCCAATTCCACAACGTCTCCTTGGGGACAATAAATAACAGCTTGAATTTTTATATATTGAAGTTTTTAAATTTAAATTTTAAGATAGATGTAAAAGAATTTGAGAAGGAAAATATTATTCTTTATTATATCATTTATCATATAACGTACTAAAAAAATATTACAACTCCACAACTACATATCTGCAAGATTTGAATTGCTACGTACCCTTGTTTCCTTCATCTTCCAGTCTCAGCAACTCAATATCATACCCACATATAAACGTGTAACTGACAAACAAAAGAGGTCTTGGAAATTAACTTCTTGATGGTTAGAGAGGTGAAGTATAATTCTTGCGGCTACTACAGCATTTATTCATGGTATGTGTCAACCAAAAACATTACAGTCCAGAATCACAATAAAATTATCCAGAACATGCATCTTAGGTACATGGGGACATCGAAGATAAACATACATGCCACTTCATGATATTAGTCTCTCCCGTGAACAAAATGGGTTCCCGACCAACCACTGTATGAGTGGAGCTTGAATGCTATAAAAAGAGGCAACAATCCTAGGGCATGTCTGATATTATTGGGAAAGAAAGCAATCCCTTGTATTTGCACAAGACAACAAAATGATTGTCGATGTCAAATCTTAAGATTTGAACCAAACAAAAATAAAATATACCTTGTGGAATTATTACTTTTGAAAAGCTCTTAATTCTTTATCTGGTAAGATAGTATCCGGAAGAATTAGCTCTGGGGGAGTTTCCCGGACAACACCCAGCATTGAATCATACTCTTCATCCCTATGAGCAAACTTCTTGCGTAGAGCCTTTTCAAATTCAATCTCCTCAAAGGACTTGGCATTCTCAGCAGCGTGAATTTGTGCAAGGTTGAAATAATTGGTAGCTGATTTGGAAATAAATTGTGTCTCTTCATCAGTAAGCTTCCTCAGGAATTTTGCTGGATTGCCTCCCCATACCTGTCAAATCATAAATTACCAAAATAAAATAAATTAAAAGTGTTAGGTTTATAATTAAGTAAAGCCACATTCAAGGAACAGTTAAGGATCTCCAATATAACTAATTTGGCCAAAGTTGAAGATCATTTTCAGGTCTAGGAGACATTACAAATAACGAGAGCTTAGAAATTCGAAGAAACATGTTAAAACACAAATATTAAGTACTTATTTTTTTCAACTCATTCCAGAAAAGTGGCAATTTACACCATTTTCTAAAGATTGCTTGACTTCATCACTCAAGATCTCAAAATACACTCCCATCCATCACAAGGGCTTAGATCGTTCACAGTTCTTGTTGTAGTTTTCCATCTAGTTCTTCTCCACCTTCCTCTACTAATATAAACCACTAACCTAAACATTTATCACTTCCAGTACCCTGTGGCTCAAACATTTATATAGACAGTAGAAGCTGTGCATGTATTTAGGTACTTCCAATATACCATCCCTAGTAGTAGTATTTGTTCACACATGATGCTAATATAGGACATAGACATACAAGCGCATCCCATATTTCTATGCTGTTCTAGCAAAAGGGAAAATGCCTTGTGAAAAAACATCAGCAAGTGTAAACTTTACACAAATACCTCTCCAGTAGGGATCCTTGTATTTTGTCTCACAAGAGCTCCAGCAGCAACCATACCATGTTTCTCAACAACAACACCATCAAGCAGTGTCGCTCCCATACCAACAAATGCTTCATCCTCAACGGTACAGCCATGTAAAACAGCGCTATGACCTGCTCAGTTAGCTTTTTCAATCATAACACAGAAAATGGATGGAATTTCTGTTATGTAGTTCAAATCAATCATGCAGTGTAAATCATTTCACTCACCAACAGTAACATTGTCCCCAATGATGGTTGGTAGCACCTTTCCACTTATATTAGACTTTGCCACATGCACAAGGGAGTTGTCTTGTATGTTAGTTCTGGATCCAACACTGATGCTGTTCACATCACCTGTGCACACACAATTTGTATGAGTATCACCAACATCAAAATACTATTGTAAATTTTTGGAACCCCAATGGGGTGGCTCAACGGTTAAGAGCTTGAGACTCCAAGTTGGAGATCTCAAGTTCGAACCTTGAGTCGGGTGGGGAGGGATTTGGGAATAGGGGAGGGCTATCCCCTCTTGTATAGCCCATAATTAGATGTACCAAAAAAAATAAAAAAAACTATTGTAAATTTTGGAAATGTAAAAATTTGAACAATTTTAAATATTTAAGAAAAATAGCATTTCCTATTCCATATGATTGGATAACAGATGTATGGTGCAATGACCAAGTCAAGCAATCAAACATAGGCAGTGAAATTCAAAGTTTAGAAAATCAAGTTTCTCCCAAACTAATTCAGACATGTGCATACTGAATAAATGCAGTTAAGGCAATTAATTGATTCAATAAGGTGTAACAAATAAATAATAAAGTTGTTTTTTTCCAAATAAAAATTAAAAAATAACTTTGAATCTAGTAATAACATGACCAGGAAAAAGTGGATCATAAGATGATAAAATCTCTAGTATCTAAATTCACATCCCTCAAAATAGTAGTGAAGATAATGTTCATGGTAAGCTGAAAAATGTAATCTTTTAAACTGTTGATATCATCTAGAGTTATATCCAATACAAACAAGTCTACCATCTCCCTTGAACATAGTATCAGACAAAAGATGTCAGAAGTTATTCTTCAATTTTTGATAAGCTCATTTCTAAAAAAAAATGAAAGCATATATTACTACAAACATTCTCTCTTTCTTTTCTTATTTTACTTTGACTATTTAATTGAGATAATCAATATCCCTTCTGTATGCTAATTCAAGCATCCTAGCAATAAACTTTGCTGACAATGCTAGAACAGCAATTGTAATGAATTTGAGACATTAGATGAAATCCTTATAGGAATGCACCTTTGGTTACCATTCTTATGTGAATTTTTATTTATTAGATAGACATGGAGTTGATCTTAGATTGCCTTTCTTCAAAGCAAAAGTGTATTCTTTCCATCCAAATTTGTGCAACAAAAAGAACTGAATTGTATGCAATGCACCATACCTCTCAAGACACATCCATACCAAATAGATGATCCTCTTCCAACTTGAACATCCCCAATGACAGAGGCACCTGGAGCCACGAATACATCCTTGTCGACCAAAGGAGCTTTATCAAATAAGTTCATAAGAGTTCGATGCCTAGACACTAAGATAAAGAATAAGATCAGCACATAGACTACCCAAGAGAAAGCAAGGTAAAGCATAACAACCAAAACCATATACCCATATAAGTCAACCATGACAAGAAACAAGCATTGTTGCTCAAAAGAACAAGGAATTCAGCAAAGCAAAAAATAAAGTAGAATTCTAGTGTGATGCACTGGAGTGAAAAAATTAACCACCATAATCATCTAACCAATGCCACCAAATGAGACGTTATCTGATTAATGCTAATAGGTATGAGAGTTTCTCCATCAATCATTACAATTCGAAAAATATTTGTTGCCTCATCATTTCTGCAAACTGCATACCCAATACTTTATCATCAATAACCAGACTATCCGATGAAATGGTAGCTACCAAACAACAACAATAATGAATCCTCAGCTAAAAGTTTGGGTGATGCTTGTAATTGAATCCACAATTTCAACGCACATAAAATATAAATGGAATTATTCAATAAACCTATTCAAACATCAGATATCAATCTCAAACTCCATTCCACGCTTGGCCCCAGAAATGAAATCAGCTAAAGTTCGATTCTACCAATGAAAATGACAGATTCTATTGGCCTGAACTGACGCTGCCATGCCTAAACAAGTCTGCGTTGATCTCGAAAGAGACAAACGCATGAATCGAAGGATTCACAGGGCGTACCAGAAATTGGATTGTAATGCATTTTAAGAGAAGGAAATGGTGAGGGAATAGCTTACGTTGCTCCTGGAAGCAGTAGTTCCCTTGAAGGCGGCAGCCAAGGCGATCGAGAGCCTGTCCGGTTTCACGAATCCAGAATCCGACGGTGTAAATGGCCTTTCCTAGGGTGCCCATCTTCTGCTACCGTCGATTTGATCGGCGATTCACCGGTGACACTGACTTGAAGTTTTCAGCTGGGTTTGTGACTGGAGGAGAAATGATTGTCTGTGGTAGGGTAGAATATCCTATACTTTCACGAGGGTAAAATGGGATTTTCGTCACTCATCGGAAATTACTACAGTAGCAAATTTGCTTTTTTTTTTTTGTTTTTTTTTGTTTTATATACTTCACTTATTTTATAGATGTTTTATTTTTCATTTTTTATTTATTGGCCATGAATTTTTAAATTCCATTTGATATTATTTCAGTATCATTTTTTCTCAATTTACTACTCTGTTGAATATTTTGATATAGTACAAAATATAAGTTAATTTAAAGTTGTTTTGGGATTATTTTTTTACTATACTTTTTCAGAAAAGTAGGTAATTATATTAACTTGTATTGTAAAAAATGTGATGAAAAAATATTTTAGAACTACATCATTTTAATAATATCTTATTAAAAAATTAAAATATTTTAATTATTTTTAAAGTAAGGATGAGGATATTATAGTTTTTTTATAATATTTTATTAAAATGAAGTAATTTTGAAATATTATTTTATATAATTTTTTACAAGTCTAATTGATAAATATTAATTTTATAATTTTTTATAAATCTGGTTGATAAATATTAATTTTATAATTTTTTATAGCCGCTTACAAAAAATAATAATATAATTTTTCTAATAACAAAATACTAAAAAACCATAGTCACAACATTTCATATTAATTCCAAATACAACTTGAGATGCCAAGCAGTAATTAGTACTCCGTACTAAACAAAGTATATATGAATAACATTAAAGGTTTGTTGATAATATTTACTGATAATAAATTTTTACAATAATAGCGTGATATTAAATGAATAAAAAAATATTGATTTATGCATTTCAATAAGTGTAAAATATCAATAAAAACTATGTTATGTCATATCATGAAACTTTATTATCAATAAACATTATCAATAAATCATTTTTTAGAATTTGCAAAATACATTTGATATAGTTAAGTTATTAATTTCTAAGTCCCAAAATTAGTTTCACGTATTCATTGTTTTTATATTGGTTCATTTATATTTTATTTGTCAAGAGTCATGCATAATGTAATAAAAATAATCACTATATCTTCACACAAAAATTTAATATCAATTTTATGTATTGTCTCACAAAATGTAGTAGAAAATATTAAGATATTGGAAGAAACTAAGTATTATCGCCATTAACAATAATGGATATGAAGGTCTTTTAAATAAAATATTTAAACCGAACGG